GAAAAGGGTTTAAATAGATATATATCTATAATATAGATATACATATGCAGATATATATATGTATATATAGATATATATGTATGGAGTTATACCAACAATAGGAGTGTTGTTCACTTAGACTCTGATTGTGCCCAACACCCCTCAGCAGTTCCCAGAGGACCTGACAGCAGTTCCACCTGGTGACCAGTCATCCTGGGCAAACTGGGCTTTCATGCCTTTGTTTTTCAAGACCAAGAGGAGCATCATCAGCGTGCACACCCCTAGAGCCACACATCGCTTTGAACCAGCCTCAACAACCAGAGGCATCGCTTCACTTAGACTCTGATTGTGCCCAACACCCCTCAGCAGTTCCCAGAGGACCTGACAGCAGTTCCACCTGGTGACCAGTCATCCTGGGCAAACTGGGCTTTCATGCCTTTGTTTTTCAAGACCAAGAGGAGCATCATCAGCGTGCACACCCCTAGAGCCACACATCGCTTTGAACCAGCCTCAACAACCAGAGGCATCGCGCTGGGAAAGACTCGGTGCCCACCGGCCGGCCCAGCTGCTTCCCATCACGCTCGGCTTCCGCAGCTGCTTTATCACTCCCCTGAAAGAGCATCTTATGGAGTACCAGGCAGCTGGCACTTCGTGTTCACGTTCCTTCGCAACCAAACCACCTCCTGTGCCACCGAGCAGCTGTTAAATGCGAGTCAGGGGAGCACAACAGCCAAAGCACCACACTCGGAGCCCCCGCTCCCCGCAGCGACGCCAGCGCGTTACCCTGCTGCGTGAAAACATCTTGGTACCGTCTGTCAGAGAGCTGGTTTTCAGGGCTGGGTGGGCTTTTGTTTGCAATTTATAAACAAACTGGATTACTTTCACTTTATTCAAACATAGCTGAAGTTCTAAATAAATTTTCCATACCAGACAAGCCAGTGGTCTCAGGGAAGAACAACATTACAAACCATATTATGACTCTATCAAGCCAACATTAATTCTCAGTTGTTCACATGCACAAACAACTTGATTTACTGTCCAAGGGAAGTCTGCATGAAAAACCCATGTGAATAAAGCTATTCAAAACGCACAGAACACAACAACAACAACAACAACAAAAAATAAGCTATGGAAACAAACAGAACAAAAAAGGAATTAAGCTTGAATTGCAAACACAGAACGCAATGGTATCATGAAGGTGGTTTGGTCCAGGAGAGCTGACTGTCATCACGCATGTGGACGTGATGCCATGCGACTGTCTTCTACTGAAGTGCTTTTTGAAATGCTTATCGTGATGGGTGCTACGTCGTTAGTGTTTCTTCCTAATGCATTTTAAAACCACCTACATACAATTATAAAACCCAGTAACTTGGACAGTTTTAACAAAACCCTCCTAGCCAGCTGAAAGATCTGAGGATCTCCAGTTGTGGTAATCAAATATGTGCAAGAGAGGGGAACAGCCACTGCACCAAAAGGTCACGGGAGCCTCCTTAAAAATGGAAAACCAACCCCAACCCAGTAAAAACACTAAATCTGGCCGGTTTCTTAGGGCTAGAGAAGCTCCCTCCAAAGGCCAACTCTGCAGTACTTAACCACAGCGCTGTGTATTCACAAGGCCGGGTACAACTCGTAGTAGCCAAGCACCACATTATTCAGATACCACAACCAACACCTGCACCAACAGCTGCCTGAGCTGGAAAAAGAGAAACATTATACATCAAGTTGATGGCAAGCTCGTGTTAGTCCTGTGTGCTTGTAAACCAGTTACACGCTGTCAGAGGGCAGTTGAAGTTGATGGCTGGTCCATCAGAATCCACAGTTATATGAAGCATATAAACAGGGGAAGAAAAGGGAACTGAGTTTTTACTGGCACATTAAAAGAAATCAATTCAATGTTAGTCTTGGAAAAAACCCATCAGTGCTCTCATGAAACAGAAGCAGCAAAGATCCGAAGCTGTAAACTCGATGTAGCAGTATCACCAGGCAGCCTGGGGCAGGGTTTTTGGTCAAGCCAGCAATGCTGTTGCTGTATGAACCAATTCATTTTTAGGTGCTGATTCAGCCAAATATCTTTTTGGTGCATGTGGAATCTGAGGAAAATCCAGCATGACCGAGCCCATTCTGCAGGACAAAGACCATTCCCTTCACTCTACGATTCTGGGCCTTCAAACATCGTAATCAAGAGATTTCTGTCACAGATTTCAACGAATACTCATTATTTGAAGTCCTCGTTATCAGGTCAGCTGTGCCTCCACTCATCAAACCACACAGCATCCTGCTGCTGACCTGAGGACCGCCAGGACAGCACATTAAAAAGCCCTCACGTTTCCTTCAAGAATGGTCACCCGCAGTCAGACAGCCCTGGGATTCCTCCTCACAGTAACGAATCTGAGCCAAAGAACTGGAAAAACTCCTTGGAATGGAGGCAAACATTCTGAAGTGACCCTTTGTGACAGGCAGTGACTGTTCCCCTCCAGAACCTAGAGCATGTGGTATATGGAGTGAGAGGTTACCAGTATCAACGGCATTTATTGGCTGCTGAGAAATGTGAGATGTATTCTTTTTTATATACACACATATAAAAAAATAAGAGTGAGGTAGATAAATGTTTGAAAAAAATCAAAACCTGTCCCCCTGTCATACTCAAAAACCCTTATCTCAGTATTTAAATTTATTATGGGGCATCTCTACAGTGATTTAAACTGATATCACAAAAATAAATAAAAAATCCTACATAGAATACCTTCTTAATTAACTTTTTTGTCTTTTTTTTTTTTCATTTTTAAAAGGGAAAAATAACTATGGGACAGAGGCAAGAGAAGATAATGGGACCTAAACTACACAAGCAAAAAGCACTACAAACTTTTTCAAATCTCCAGTCAAAACTAGCAATCAGTCTATTTTAATTCTTTGTTCTTACTCAAAAGATTGAAGCGTTTCCATCCCAGAACCACCTCTTCACTGCCATCGTTTGGTTGGATCAGTGCTAAACAAAGGCTTAGATGCTGTAACTAACGTTAAGAGGAGCAACTGGTATGACTCGGTGGTTGCAGACTTTCTGGTGGCCCCCTTCTTCCCCTGTCACCAAGGCTTCTGCAACTGAACAAACAAGCTTACTCGTTTTCTTTTGTTCTGAGGTTTGGTCTATGATTTAAGCAACAAGCTTGTACTTGTACAGGTTTCCATAGCTGCCAACACTGAACTGTTTGCTAGCCAAGCCACTGGCCCCAGCTGCACTTTGTCCACCCGGCCCCATGGAAACAGCCTGCTGGGTTCCAGTTGGTCTTGGTGTTATTTCTCTTCCCCAGGGTGTGAAGTGCAGCCTGAGTGCCCTCCTTGAGGGCTTCCTCATCAGGAAAGTGAAGAGCTGGGGCTTGCTGGAGCTTCAGTGGCCACCCTAGGGCTGCCTGGCATCACCAGCTGCAACTGGTACAGCTCTTACTCACAGGGTGGAAGGGTTCAAAATAGTCTTTGTAAAAATCAGTGACCCAAAAGCCTGGTGTCTGCTGTTGTACCCAACAAATACAAAACAAAATACATATATATGTGTGTCTGTGTGGGGGGAGTGTGTGTGGGGATGGGCGGGTGGATGTGTGCCGCAACCAAAACAAGCGGGGAGGGAAGGAGGGGAAGGACCCTTGTACAACAATGACTATAAACACTGAACAAGAATGTACTAAATATTTAACCTTTTTTTTCTTTTTTTTTTCTGACCTGAGTTTGTATCATGCCTTGCACTGTAAGAGCCTCGCACGCTGCCTGGGCAGAGGTTAGTGGGAAGGAAGGAAAACCGGGACTTCAACACACCACAGAACTGCTCGAGTTGTTTCCGTGCAGGGTGTCCCCCTTCTTTCTCCATGTCCCCCTCAAAAGCCCTGTAGCCCACACAGCCAAGATGTTGTAAAACAACTAATGGAGAGGAGGAAAAAACTAAAAATAAAAAAAAAGAAAAAAAAAAAAAAAGAAGGAGGAGGAAATGTATTTATAAAAAGGCATTAAACAGTTCATGGCAAATCATATGAAAGGTATCAGTTACTGGGAAGGAGGAAGTAAAGAGTTACACACTATAGTACAAAGCATAAGAAAATCTGTTGAAGTGGGAGGGGAGGGAAGGAGGGCAGACCTGAAGGTTCTCATAGATTAAATCCACAAAGATAAAGAACAAAAAAAATAGCAGCTTTTTTCTGTACAGACATATAGATGAGTATCTGAACCGTAAAAAAGTTATAAAAGTGACACAAAAGACAATGTGTATGCAAATGATCCATGGTCTAACATAGAACTGCAAGACCCTTCGAGAAGTCTTAATAATAAAGAGAAAAGGTCAACAAAGCATCATGTACTTGAATCCGGTTACTGCTTTTGTGTGTCTTCTCCAATCGATGTTCCTTCGGTGGCGTTTCCTGCGAGCCTGGGGGGGCAGGCTGCCGCGGGGAGAGCTCTGCCCCTGCCTTTCAGGTGTCTCCTGGTTCCGTTTTGGCGTGCGGTTGCCTTTAGTTGTGTACGAAATGCACGTGTTGGTTTAGCTCACCACTGCCAGTTTTGTCCAGAATTGATTGGGATGGGGGCACGGGGGAGGGAGGGCTGTTTCTCTACCCCATCCCTTTTATCTTCTCCATCACAAGAAAAGAAAATAATCACATTTTGTCCAGTTTTGAAAAAAGATCTCGACAATTTCATCATTTTTTTAAGATTTTTTTTTTTCTGTTTTAAATACCAGTGTATGATTGAACAGAACATATTGGTCAGGATCTCTTTTAGACAGAGCAGTTGATTACTGTGCTCCTTCATGCCTACAAAACAAAAACAAAACAAAAACAAAACCCAAAAAACAAAAAACAAGAGAGTTCAGGTTTTTTTGGCAAAATTTGGCAGCGTTGAAAATGGGAACAACCTCGGACGAATGATGGCCCTTTTTATTCTTTTACGTGTCCCTAAAAAGATTAAAGAGCAACATTAAAAATCCAGTCTTTTTTAGTTGAGTTTTCTTTTTGTGTGGGGTTCTGTTTGTTGTTTTTTCTATAAAGACCTACAGTGTCAGGCAGGTGCTTGGAGGGTCCCGGAGCCCCCCCGGCCTGCGCTATCTTTGATCTGATAAAAGTGCTGTACGGTTGAACTTGCACGCAGATATGTTTCCCATTGTGAAGCAGAGAGAGAGACAGAAAGAAAAGAGAGAGAAAGGAGAGAGAGAGAGAGAGAGAGAGAGAGAGAGAGACATCAGATCTCAAGTTTTCTGTTGCTATGAAGTGTTAACACCAGAGTTTTAAAAGGCCAACTGTGCGCCCCATGAATGGAGTCCTGGACTGAAACAAACATCTGCTTGCATATCGGAAAAAGAAAAACACGACAACTTGTTTTACTGAAAAAAAGGGTTCTCCCAAGTGCAGCTATGGCAGTTCTGAAGATCCACTGAGGTACAGTAGGCTGTTTGAACACACTGTGATTTCCTTTCTTCCTTCCCCCAATGCAGGTGCTGCTCCGTGCTGTGAGATTCTGGCTGTTAAGGATCAGCAGGCCGACGACTGGGGCAGCGGTAAGGCCCTCTCGTTCTTGCGTCCCCCGTTCATGTGTGCGTACGGCTGTCGCTCCTCGAAGCTGGCCCGAAGCACCACCACGCCTGGGCCGTTCTCGGCTTTGTGTCCTGAGTGCTTGTCAGTGGGTTGGAGGGTGGAGGAGGGATCTAAAGGAATGCTCTCCATGTTTTCAGTCTCCAGGTCAAGCTCCTCTGTGTCCGGAGGCTTGTTCTCTTCACTGTAGAAGAAGGAGACCTCTTTGAACGCTGGGTCCAGCTCGTCTTTAATGCTACCGATGATTTCCAGGAAGGAGGGCCTCATTTTGGGGTTGTACTGCCAGCACATGCGCATCAGTTCAAACCTGCACAGGAGACACACAGCAGAACCATTTACTGAGGTGTTCTACGAGCCCTGGCTGGAGCCCAACCACCCGTGATGGAATCGTCCAATCCTGGTGGAAGACAAAGTGACAGAACGTTCACATTCCAACCTCCTTCCTAACCGCCGATTAGAACAGCTCCTATCTCCATCTTCTCCACTCACTTGCCCGTAAAACCATCTCATGGATACTCAACATCCAGAAGCACTTTGTACTTTTATGCTTACTTGGTTATTTCTCTCTTCTTCCTCCAAAACACCCTGTGCTCACTCACCCATACAGCCCCGTGACAGTGCCTCCTGGAGCCTCTTTCCCAAACAACCCATCCCTACCCTATCAATACTGTCTTGGAAAACATTAAAATAGGAAATAGATGCAAGGTTAAAGCACCACTTTCCCTCCCCCCCCCAAAGAAGAAAATGACATTAAAATTAATTGTAATCCCTCAAAGACATTCTCTAATCTTTTGATTTAGAATTATGTTGTTTTCATTTATGGCCAGGGCTGCATTAATATTTCACGGAGTGTGAGCTCATCTGTTTAAGCACATCCACGATTAGATCTGTACAATGTCCCACGCTGGCAAAACAAAACCACAAAATGAAACAGTAATACCTACATAATGAAAACAGCATTTTCATGACACAGCAAAATTGGATATTCCTGAGAGATCGCCCTGAGCTTTAAACACAAGAAAGGATTTCACTGCCTGTGAAGGTGGAATGGGGCTGTCTTCTGTTACAGCCCAAATAATGGGACAAATTTAAATAAGAAAAAGAAGATTGACATTAATTCTTTGAGCCGATCCTGTGTGTACACAGCACTCAGAGGAACGTGCTGTGTGTAAGAAGTCACCACTGGCCAAAACCACTGCTTCGTGTGCTGGAGTAAGAATAGATCTAAGAAAACACCAGAGAAAACTCTCCTGGTTAAGGTAACACAGTGGAGATTCACTCATGTCTCTTGACTTCCCTCCCAGTGCTGAGACCCCAGTCCCAGAAAGACCCCCTCAACTTCCTGGCCGCTTCCCACCTCTGCCAGCATTCCCGTCAGCCAGACCACCTAAACTGCCAGTTTTGGTTCTATAAACCAATGACACCATTCTTCTCACCTCCCCAGGTTTCCTGAAAGCAAGCAAGACATTCTGTGTGATGCTTAAATTAGCTCTCGCTGTCTTGTGCCCAGGCAGAAGTTTACTAGATCCTTAGTGTGTGGAATGAGCTTATTTTACTTTTTAATTAAAAAGACAGCCCCAATTGAACACAAATTCACTGCTTTTTTGGACAGGACCCGAGTCTATCACAGAGAGATGTCTGAGTGACTCCAGAGCCCAGGCTCCAGAACAAACCTTCCAACAGGGCCGTGGCTGGAAAACCCTGGACTCTGCAGCCTGTTGCTGTGTGTCACTGCCCACAACAGGGTCTGGTGACTCTGGGAACCCTGGCCTGACACACGACCAAAGCAAAGCAATCCCCTCCCCGAGGAACTCGCTCCCTGGGGAACACTGCTGCATTTCCCCATCGGGTGCACTAGACGTGAACCAGCCAGGAGAGTGAACGCTGCTGTGTTTGGGATGCAAACACTGCTGAGAGCACTTCAACCCCTACAAAATCAATCTTAACTGAAGTGCATTTAAAGTCACAAATAGTCCTGCTAGACTCAGCTGGCACCGCTCTGCATGAACCACGAAGGCAGCCACCTGAGCACGGCCTTGTGACAACAAAAAGAAGCTGGCAAAACCAGTCTGTGCTGGGAGAACTGCCCCAGTACTCAACACTGTACTGTGACAGGCACGTAGACACATAAACACTGTTAAACTATTGCTTGGTTTTGAGTCTTTAAAAGGTCTTTCATAGCGAAAGTGAAGCCAAACTATAAAACTGCACTATACCCTCACCCACGAACAGGGAGGAAAGCTTGAGACATAAATACATAAAATCCATTGCTGTTACTTCATTGCTGTTTCCTTTCCAGCTGACTGCTGCGTCCCTGAATAGAAGCGGGAGCCGGAGCCAAGAACACTGGATATTCGCTGGCGCTCTGCCCCGAGGCCTAAGGGCAATGCTAAGGAGATACCACAAGCAGCGGAGTAATGCATGTGACATCAGCACAAACAAGGACATGTGATGTTTCTTTTAAGCCAGTCCAGATTTAAAAACCCTACAGAGTTCCCATAAAAGGATTTTTTTCTCCTTTTTTTAACTGTGTGGATTCAAGGCCTTGTTTATATTATCTTGAACAAAAAAACCCAAACCCTTTCCAGTGGACAATGGAGAATTTACAGGCTGCTAACACCACCTGAGCAGCTTTATAAAGTGTGTTGCTGACTGGTGGCAAGTGAGCTCAAGGAAGCTGGAGGCATCCTCATGAGATAGAGGAAGAGCCAGTGTGGCTCATGCAGCTTTTGCTGAGAGAGCTGAGCAGAAATGGAGTTACTTCTTGCACTGAGACAGTACAAAGCAGAAAATGGGAAGTTACTCCAGAAGCTGCATTCCATCTGAGTGTGTGTTTGTGCTCTGCATCAGACTTGATGTGGTGGGGAAAGGCAAAGGGCCTCCTCTCTGCTACTCTGCTGTTGCTACCCGCTGACATTACCTCTGCAGAGCAGACCCTGGTTTGTAACCGAGCGCTCGCCAGGAACAAAGGGAACATCAGCAATGCGTAAATAGTCTCGTCATCTACAATACGTGTGGGGGAAGCAATTCTGCTTCAAAACCAGAGTGGAATTCCAGCCTCCACAAGTTTTAAAAGCCCCACGGGAACACGCTGTCTGAGCGCTTCAGCTGTAACAAACCTCCTTGCCACGCAGCCATCACCTGATGAGCACTGCCGTAACAATGGTGGTACATAAAAACAGGACTTATTACACAGGAAGAGAAGAAAAACAGCAAAGCTTCTCCTGGCACTGTCTCATTGAACCATCTGTCTTGTTGCATGGTTCTGTCTGTAAAACCATGCAAACTATGCCAAGAGGGTGTAGCAAAAACAGAACTGAGTCTGTTTCACCCTGTGTAAGAGTAAAAAAGCCTCTAGAAATACTGTCCCTTTTGTGCTCAGCCCTTTCACAGGGATTTACCACCTCTTGGAACCACAAGACAACCATGCCACAAAATCCCCTTCTGCACAAGCACCCAATACAAGCAAGAACCTCTCCAGTTCTTCATGTCCTCTGTCTCTGATCCAGTTCAAAGCTACTGACTCGTTGCTACCAGGGGCTGGCAAAGCACAGCCACTAACAAGCACGACTGGCACCGCGGTCCTAGGAGAGATGGAACGTCCAGGACTGCTCACACCATGCAGCATTCATGCAGGGGGGGTGGCAACCAGAGGCCCCGATGAAACTGCTGCACTGTGGCTGGAGCGTGCAGGGCTGTGCCAACACTCACATCATCTGCAAGGTTAAATATAGTAAATTTGGTGACAGTTGCAGCAAGATTCTTCTCTGTGTTCTCATCGACACTTCCCCACTGGAGTCTACCAACTCCACCTGTTCTGGAGGTTTCTGTGTGTCAGTGCAGGCCCCTCTCTCTGCAGAAAGGTAGATTTCTGTGCTGCCCCTAATTTTGGTTGTTTCCAAGTCAAACTGATTTAAAGAAAACAGCATCTCTGCATCTGCAGCCTCCAGCACACGAGGTACGTAAAAGTGCAGTTCCTGGCTCCCTTTCTCACTTGCTTTCCCACAGTACCAAGCACAAGAAGTGCATCGACTTCCCTGTAGCAGGTGGACTTTGCTTTCTGGACATCTTGAGTTAATACTGTGAGTTAACAGAGTTAATATTAAAATATCACAGACCTGCTGGTCTCCACCAGTAGGAATTTATGCTGTCTGAAAAACACCTTCCGCCAGCACAAACATGCCAAGAAACCTGCCTTTGAGCAGGACCCCTTATATTTTACAAAGGGTTCCATAAAGCACTTGAGCAAGCAGTTGGCTGAAATAAGGAGGGATGCATAGCAAGATCCATACTCAGTTTTAGGGCTCTCTGCAACTCGGCTACAAGCACCTTCATGTCCATTCAGTGATTTTCTTTCTAGGTCTGGTGCTGAGAAGCAGATTACCAGACAGCTGGAGAGGGGAGAGGAATCCTGCCAAGGCCCAGGTCTCTGTCCCTGCCAGCAGCCACACACGAGGTTCAGGACTGGCAGCAGTTGTCAGGTTACAGAGCGTTACACAGCATCTTTACAGCATCTTGGGATGGAGACAGGGAAAGCAGACAAAAACATGCAGAGAAGAAAGCACCATAGTAACGCAGAACAGGTTCTCCGAGTGCCAAATGCATGGAACAAAGGTGAAGATTATTCCTGGAGCTCCCTACTGTTATTCCTACAACAGCCTATTTGAATTTCAGCAGACATGAGTGTCTGTCCTAAGGCAAAGACAAAACAAGCTGACAGGGAGCTAACACAAGTCACAATAAGCTGCTAAGGTCAACACATCCTTTTCTTTAATTATTTTTCACTTTGGACAGACTCAGGATGTTTTATACAAAATTATCACCAAAAAGAAGACACCATTAGACTGGAAGTGCCTTCGTTGTGAGTTCAGCCCTTGTTCTGATGCGGTGTCAGCCTAAAGTCTTGGTGGCCACAACTAACGTGTGAACAGCTTCTTCATTAAAATCAGCACAGAAAAGCCTCTGCTGTTACAGACTGGTGCAAAGATTTGCTCTGCCAGGCATTAACCAAATTCTCCCAGCTCACAAGCCAGTTATCCTGAACATGGATTCATCCAGCAGCAACACCCAGCAAGCAGAGGAGTATCTCTGAGGAAGAGGAGGAAGGAGGATGGGCTGGGTGAGCTGCAGTTAAGAGCAGCTTCATGCAGTGACTCCCCTCCTACCCCTGTTCATAGCACACATGCCTCAGGTTAATGGGCAATTTCTAATGCTGAATGTCCTCACTGTAGAGGTATTTTCCCCCTGTGGACTCGGGGAGCTGACCCCTTCACATTTCCTGTTCTTCCCCCATTTCTGCCCACCCCTCCCTCCCCTTACACAGCTCTGACTGAGTTAAACAATGTCCAGTCCATCGGACTGCCAGGAATTCTCCACAGCATCGTGGAAGGGAAAGAATGTGAAATGGAGGAATCACATGGCAGCTACACCTCCCCCTGCATATCCCACCCACCCCCCTCAAACAACAAAACAACACTGCCTGTCATCTGAAACCAAAGCCAGAGCTCCAGCCAAAAAAGCTCTTTTCCTAAGAATCCCAAGCAGCTGAGGCCCTTAAGTGATTGTATCCCTTCCGTGGGCCTCCAACGAATTTCAATAACTGCAAGATGCAGTATTTCCTTCCCAAAAGCCAGTTTGGGAAGTATATCAAAGTAATAAAGTCTGAACAACTGAAACTGCTGTACACAAAAGCCAGCAGAAGTATTTCAACAATGTAAAGCTAAAAACTGAAGCCTGCTGCACTGCACACCCTCCTCTGCTCAAGGCTTGGTATTGATTCTAGGGGAAGGCAGAGGTTTTTCTGTGTACTTCTTTCTGTGCTTACAAGAGAGGAAACTGTTAGCAGGGGACATTCGTTTATCTCCATGTGATGAGCACTGCGACCGAAATAGCAGGTCCAACGCTGCTTCAGACAAAGGAACGACACATCCCTTTATCTGGATGCTGAACCAAAGTTGAATCCCACAGAGTTCACGCACAACACATTTCAGCTTGGCCTATGCTCTTTTCTCTCTTCATGCTCAACAGAGTTACTTTAGGCAGAAGAGACAAGGTTTAAGCACAAAGTCTTCCGCTGTAGCAAATGTCACTTACGAACTTAGTCTACTAAGTCTAGTGGAAGGTGTCCCTCCCCGTGGCAGGGGTTGGAACTGGATGAGCTTTAAAGTCCCTTCCAACACAAACAGTTCTGTGGTCCTATGATACTTCTATTCGGGAACAGACTGGGGTTTTTTTCCTCATTAAAGGAGACGTAAGTAAGATTCTGGCCAGAAGCAAAGTTGTTTTCTAGTTTAGTTACTATAAAACACTAGATTGACAGAGACTGTTCAAGCAGCACCTCACATTACTATCACTCTTTACTAACCCTTCCTGTGGTAGACAGGGCAGAAGAGGACACTGAAGGGATCAGGAAGAATGAACTGTGCACAGAGAACAGTGGTAACTGTGGACACTTACAGCATATCAGGACAGTTGTCTGGTTTTTCCAGCAGGCCTCCTTCCATCACAAAGCGGAGCACTTGCTCATTGGTCATGCCTTGGTAGGGCTGCTCCGCTAACGTCGCGATCTCCCAGAGTACGACACCGAAAGACCTGGAAAACAAGCCAGAACTTTAGGAAGCCAAGCAGTCTTCACAAGGGTGTTTTTCTCAGGCCTTGGTTACAACAGTTCTGTATAGATCAACAGTAAAAAAGCCACTGCAAACTCACTGCATTGACCAGAAGCCTCCTAACTGAGAGGAGATCTAAGCTGTGAGCTTGCCTGGAGAACCAGCTCGCATCTCATCTGCCTTTCCCATGGCTTTGAGCTTGGACTTCAGGCATGCTACAAGGTGGGAAGAACAGTGGAGAAGCGGGAAGAACAGGGAAAAGGAAAGATGCAGGTGAGGAAAAAACTAATTTAAAAAATCCTGTTCCTGTCTCTGTGCTTCCAGGCTGGACACACACCTCATTGTTAGAGTACGTGTGGCTGGGTACAGGGAATCAGGATTCTATGGCTCTGTGAAACCTTCTAAGCAAGTGGCAAAGTTGCAGAGACTGGTTATGAAAAGTGAGCTCAACAAGTCCCCTCCAAACCACAAGGGTAACAAGAAATAACCCTGTACATTTATAAAAGTAAACTCTAAATCACTATGTAACACATGTCAGGTACCCCTGACAGCAATGGGGAAGGCCCAACTGTGAGCTCTCATCCCAGCACAAGCAGCTTTTCATCAGAAATACCTGAGCTGCTCCAATCTGATTTAAAAGCTGCATTTCCCTGCTACTGCTCCAGCAAGCTGAGAGCTCGGAGCAAACACACACCAGACACCTGCGCCTCTCATCTGCCTTACCACACAGAGCAGGCAAACACACCAACCTCTGCTCCCCAGGCACATAAACACTTCTTGGGTAATACCTTCCATTTATCCCTCTGCTTTGGTTCCTTCCATGCTCTAAGTCAAAGGTGCAAAGTGAGGATCAAAGCATTTGACACACAGCAGCAAGCAACAAAGCCAATAGTTGAAAGAGACATGGAAGAAATGTGAATGTTCTCCAGCTTCTTGTATCAAGACTCTAATTTGCTGCTTCAGAAGCAAAACATTTCAGCCCCCAGGAGAAACCCAGTTATCCCTTTTGCAACATCGATGTAACTATGGTCTTGAAACAGAGCTTCCAGCTCCTTCCAACTAACTACAAAGGACAGCAGAAGTGAAACAAGAAGTCTAATAATAGGAATTGATTACTGGTGAAGAAAGCACAGTTACGTAATTGGGGAGTTTGGACGTAAGTATTGACACTTGCTAAAAATATCTCCATTTAAAATTAGCTTATTGAGCAGATATGGCTCAAACTGTCTGCGCTGAAGAGTCGTCTACTTTTAGAGCTGCTGTGCACAAGAAAACATCTAGATGTTGTCTTGTCTTCTGCAGCTGAACTGCTGAGTCAAGCTTAGAGGAAAAACAGCACTGTTTCAATCGGGTATTGTTATGAAAACAGGAGTCCAGTATTATTAGCTGGTTATGGTAGAGTGGTTTTATCTTTCATTCTCCACTGTATCTGAAACGGTTTGCATCTGGAGCCAGAAGCCACAAACAGACTTGCAATTGTTTGCCTTTCAGGGGAGGGAGGGACAGAGGGTCAGCTCAACGTTTTGGTGCCTTTGAAGCTGCTTTGATCACTGCAGGAATAATGAGAACAAGCCTTGCACACCTACTAGTCATATTATCATAACAAATAAACTTATGTTGCTCCTTCAAGGCAACTACCAGTTCAGAAAGAACGCAAGATGCTCTAGACTTATTTATAGAAAAACACCCTCACCCTGAACAGTATTGCATTAAAATGTTCTCCTTCCCTGAGTACAACAAAAACAGTCTTGTCTAATTACCTCATCCTTCAGTCTGAAAAGCAATACAAGAATGAATTGCTAAAACAAAGCTCCACCCTTCAAAACCTCCAGATGCACTTTCTGCAGTTGCCATTTCACCTTACAGCTTATAAATCTTGGACTCTGACCACTCTCACAGTTCTGTCATTTTGACATTCTGGCTTCTACAACTGATCTCGAAGAACATGGAACCAGATGTCACAATATCCTATTAAACAGGCAGGAAAAGCAATCTCAACATTTTTTACTGTTTGACAAAAATAAATGGCCTCCAAACCAGCCAAGTTACAAGGTTTGCATGAAGTCAGTTCAAAATCTGAACCAATACAAGGAGTCGGGTAGTTTTTTCTGTCAAAGAGACCTCCAATGTACAGTGTTTGGTCTAAAAATGATCGGTAAGTAAACCAGAATGATCCTTTCAGCCACAAGCAGATCAAGTCAATAGAGAGTATTTCATGACAGTGGTAAGTCAAGCTCTACTGCGCTGGAATTCAGATTGAAATTCCAGAGTCTGTAGCTGTGGATATATGTGGCAAACACAAATATAGACATGTTCTAAACAAACAGCATATTCCTCATGTTGAACCAGGGGTTGTGTACCTCAAGACAGTACACCTATGAGAACCAAACTGCACAGTAAGTCACAATTAAGATGACAAACCATCCCAAAGAGGAACTGTGACATCCTGATGAGAACTGTGGACCTTCTCTCTAGAAAACATTTTTTTCCTCTCTATGCTTTCAAGTAAAAATCTGTCAGATTTTACCTCCTCCTTTTAAGCTTTCCAATCTTATAATCAGTGAGCCACTTTACTTGATGTGACTTCTGGCTAGGACATCTTGCACAGGCTGTCCCACTGATAAGCTGCAATATTGTTTGCTCAACCCTACTATGGACTGAATTACCGATTGATGCCAAATCCTAACATTGAAGGGAGAACTCACATGCTTCCTGCAACAACTAAAGCACTAAGGTACTTCTGATACCTAATCTGGCTTCACATCTATGGGGTTGGTTGTTTGGATTGTGAGTTGTTTAATCAGTAACATCACTTAACAGTTCTGGGTTAAAGGAAAGCCTGTATGGAACCAGTGCAGTGTGTCACCGAAGCCCAACACCTGATCTGCTGTAGTCCACTTCTGATGCCAAAGGCTGGGCTTAGAAGTTCCTATTGCATGGTAAGAACAGGCAGGTTTTACCAGCTCCTCACTCCAGGCTCATTCTACACCTGGGAATTCTAGTGATATAGTCCAAATTTCTGTCTGCTTTGTGAAGCCGTTACAAGTCCCAAAGTTCTTTTACAGCAGGGGACTGCCAAAAGCATGCCTGGGCTGTTCCATTAGATAAACGGCTGATACAGAGCTTCCCCATCAACTAGAAGTGGTTATTTTCATCTGCTTCCAAGTTTGAGGGTTACTGGATTCATAAATAAATTACTAGCCATATGCAAAGAACAAAATTCAGCAGCATTCTGGTGCTTTGCTTTTTCACTTGCTACATGATTCCTTTATGAACCTTTCACTCAAAGCTGGTGCTCTGGACTACAGTCCATCGACTCCAAAATCCTCAAACTGTTTAAAGAAAACGCAGTTTACTACTAAAATACCATTCCTACTGACTTCTAGACATTTGGAGGCAATCAGCTGCCAATTCTGTAACAGACCAGCAGTAAAAACATCTTGTTAGGAAGGCAGAGAAACCATAAAAGACAGAGTAGATGTTTTGCCAGTACACGTTCATCTGCTGCCAAGTCCTCCCTACCTATCTGCAAAA